AAAATGCCCTCCTCCCTGCCACCCCACCCTGGAATGAGGGTGGCCACCATAGAGGACAGTATGGTTGTCCACTGTCCTCTCTTGATAAGAAACCAGATGCCTTTATGTCCTCTCTATTTTTCTCTTCAAGAGAAAAATAGGACATATAGGCGTCCAGTTTTGTATCAATAGAGGACAGAGTAGCAGAAAACTGGAATGTCCTCTATGTTGGCCACCCTACCTGGAACACGCGTTAAAACACCCTTAGAAACTAACTATTCAGAAAGGTATAAGCATTCACAGGCAACAGCCTACATCATCAAGTGCTAAAATAAAAAGGAGGGGTAGAGAGAATAAATAAAACTAGGCAATGTGCAAACATGTTGGGCTATTTATTAACTGTGGAGATAGTTCAGTTCAATTCAAAATAGGTGCAAAAGTACTAGGGCCTTGATAGTATTTGCTGATCAAGTTTTGATTATAATACACCTCACATTGTTTAACGTTCTCATTCCATTTCTCAGGGTGGTAAAATGCCCTTTGTATGTAACTCCAACAAATAAAGAAAAGTGTAAACTCCCAAGTGGGATCGATTGTAGGCCACAGTGATGGATCAGATCCCCACTAGCATAAAATCTTGCAGATTGTTGGAAGCCTAGGGAGTTGCACTGATTGATACCACATGATAGATCCACACAGTTAATTTTTCAATTGGAAAAGTGCCTAGAAAGACAAACCTTTTTAGTGTAGCGCTTATTGCCCAGAGAAGAGTGACCCACCATATAGGCGTCCAGTTTTGTATCAATAGAGGACAGAGTAGCAGAAAACTGGAATGTCCTCTATGTTGGCCACCCTACCTGGAACACGCGTTAAAACACCCTTAGAAACTAACTATTCAGAAAGGTATAAGCATTCACAGGCAACAGCCTACATCATCAAGTGCTAAAATAAAAAGGAGGGGTAGAGAGAATAAATAAAACTAGGCAATGTGCAAACATGTTGGGCTATTTATTAACTGTGGAGATAGTTCAGTTCAATTCAAAATAGGTGCAAAAGTACTAGGGCCTTGATAGTATTTGCTGATCAAGTTTTGATTATAATACACCTCACATTGTTTAACGTTCTCATTCCATTTCTCAGGGTGGTAAAATGCCCTTTGTATGTAACTCCAACAAATAAAGAAAAGTGTAAACTCCCAAGTGGGATCGATTGTAGGCCACAGTGATGGATCAGATCCCCACTAGCATAAAATCTTGCAGATTGTTGGAAGCCTAGGGAGTTGCACTGATTGATACCACATGATAGATCCACACAGTTAATTTTTCAATTGGAAAAGTGCCTAGAAAGACAAACCTTTTTAGTGTAGCGCTTATTGCCCAGAGAAGAGTGACCCACATAGGAATGATGTGGGGCCTGTGGTATGTGTCATGACCAACAGATCTAGTATTGCCATTTGGGGATTATCATTTTCCTTTCTTTCATGAGCAGTTAGAACTTGAGAGAGGTGCCGGACTAACACTTCTGGGTGAACAGAGTTCTTCCCGTGGGCTTCTGAAAATCAGTCTTCCACTTCATTCAGGTATTTACTCTTTGCTGTGTTGGTTAGTGCATTGCATTACAGTCTGCTAGGAACTGGACCACTGGTTCCACTGAGGCACGTAAGAGACATTCACTGGGCCAAGAGTTTTATATGGTGAAGAAATGTTTTGTCATCTTGCTTATCTGAAAAAGCTCAGGCCTTTTGATTATTCTAAACACTAAGGCAGTATTGGCATGAATGTGGTAAGATATAGGGCCCCAAGGCCCTCGCCTAGTGACACATTACCGTGGGTGCTTGGGCAGGCTGCCCATGCTGCAGTACACAGCATGGCTGTGGCCTTTGTCCCAGAACACAAGGATGTCAGTCAGCTGCTGCATAAAGGGCATGGATTTGCAAGTACTCTCTGACCAACGGTTGTGGTTGGTGATGGTAACCCACTGTGCCTGCAACTTTATGTGGCACTGCCAGGCTGACTGGTTGTGCCTGCGCTCCCGCATCCAGCCTGACAACCCCTCCTAGACATGGGCATTGGAGTGCCCACCCCATGTGAACTGCTGCTGCACCCCCCCCCCCCCCCCCCCCCACAGCACCACAAGGTTGCTAGTCTCCTCCTTGGACCAGTTCGGGTCCTGGGTGGTGGTGCGGGGCATCGGTGATAACACCGTCATGGTTCCTGTGCTTGCTTTCCAGGTCTCTGTGCAGCTGTCCTGGTGCTGCCAGGCCAATGCAGCTTCCTGCAGCACCCAGCACAGGGGCACAGTGCAGGACTCGCAGCTGCACAGTGAGGTGATGCCCTGCAGCACCTGCAGGTTCTGGGCAGGCTGCTGGGGGTTGGCTGTGGGCAGCTGCAGCTGCTCTCAGTGGCCAGGAGCTGGCTGCAGCTGGGCCTGGGTACTGGCAGGCCTGGCAGGAGCCTGCAGCATCCTGCAGGCCAGAACAGTGTAGGCCTGGCAGCTGTGTAGTACTGCAGTGCCAGGGAGTGGTGTCAGGGTGGAGACAGGCTGGCACAGCTGGCTTGCAGTGGGCAGCAGTCACCCCAGGCTCCCTGCTCTTGTGCTGGAGGGCTCAAACTGCCTGTAGGTTTTTAAGGGCCTACGGCTGCCAGAGAGCCAGCTCAGCCCTGGAGCAGGAGAGGCTCCCGGCCCAGGGGCTGTGCTGAGGCTGGCCCCCTAGTGGCAGGACTGATGGGGAGAAAACTTGCTCCCAGTTGTTGTCTACATATGCGTGACTGTGCTAACTACTTGTGAGTCAGTTTGCTACCTGCATTTGCATGTAGCAAGATTTATTTATGAGTAGCATAGTTTACTCTTCAGTAAGTATGTGCACACGTAGACATGTACTTTTATGGCATAGTACACTACTCTACTGCGCATTAATGTCTCGTGTAGATGCACTGACTGTTCAGGCTTTCCTGCCACAGTAAAATACAGAATAGTTGTACCTGTCCAGCTCACATGGGGACTGTAAGTTTTTTGTGGGTTTTTTTTGTTTTGTTTTGTCTTTTTGTTTGTTTGTTTGTTTGGGTTTTTTTTATTAATATGTGCAAAGCCTTTCCATTTAACAACATCACATACCGTCTGCTTATTTAAAATGTCCTTCATGACACCTTTCCCCTATACTATGTATTTTTCCCCCTCACAGATGTCCAAATGCACAGCAACACGCTCAAGAAAGCTACGTTTCCTTCTGTCAGTGACTTAGGCCCCTGTCCTGAACATCCCTCAGTGCAGGAAGTATCCTGTGCCCACATGGAGACTACTCGCCTCTGTGTAGCTGCAGCAGTTTCCACCTCCAAATCTGCAAATTCTACAGATATTTAACAGCAGTTTCCCCATCAGATTGAGACAATTACTGAAGTAATCCCAGGCAAAATGACTGAAAACAGATCTTATCACTAAATACAGTAATTTACATCATTCTGGGTGTGTCTACACAAGATGTTTACTGCAGAGGTGCCTAATTAGCCAGATAGTAAACATCTCGGGCTCTGCACGTGCAGCACTATGAGGCCCTGGAAACTAATTACTTGACCACAGGTTAGTACTTGTAAATACAAGTATTATCCTGTGGTGGAGATCTTTGCTGTGTAGCAACACAGATGCATTGATGGGGCTGACAGGGGCTTGAGGGTGCTTCAGTGCAGGGGCTGCCTACCCGGTAGCTCCACGCTGGAGCACCCTTATGCCTGAGCCAGCTCCTCTGCAGCACAGGCCTGGCAAGCTGATCCCTTTGTTTGGCCCCTTGCCAGCTGAGGCTGCTCTGACCTGGCTCAATGTGCTGTGGTCTTGGGCTCATGTTCAAATGCAACACCCAGGAGAAATAAACTCTGACACAATATGCGCCAGAGTCTATTGCTGCACATTAATAGCATGTGTAGATGCACCCTCTGACACACAGTCCTTGTCATGGGTATAGTAGGAAGGCAACCATGAAGATGGAATCACCACGATTGCATTTTGGGCAATTGCACTGGCTAACAGAATGGAAGATGGGCTTTGACCCAATAACAGAGCTTAAGGACCGAATAACCTCTGACAATATGGTTATGTAAGAGGAAAAAAGGAGCAGTTTTATTTTTACTTATCTTTTCCTTGTAAAGATACACATTCCTGTCAAGGTCACAGAGTCCAAAGCTGGGCCTCTGTGGCATTATCACACTAAGTTTGAAATGCAGCTGCAAATAGGCACAGCAGAAACTTTTCTGGGAAATCTTTATCTAACAAGGCAGTTAAATAAAACACTAAGGCGAGATGCAGAAAACGTTCAGATTCTGGAAAACTGGTTACTCTAATATGTAATTTATTTATTCAGTGATTCCCCAAACTGGCAAGACTTACCCATAGTCACTCCATCCTTGAGTAAAAGTTAACTGTACAAATATCACCTAAATCACATTCCTGTTTTCTGATCCATGAAGCTATCTTCATTGCATGCCCTGATTCTGATAAAAAGGTTATCAGGATAATGTCACTGATAACCCTGACTGAAATGTGAAAACATAAAATCTAGATGTCCAATGTTATTTGTATAATGCTCATATCTCAAAGAGGGAAAGGCAATTAAGTTGTTAGATGATTCCCTGCAAAAGGAGTTGTCGAACTATATCCCATAGGATAGGTCTGGCCTATCCTATGGGATATAGGGATCCAGAGGGATTTTTATCAAGCTTGAAAAACTCAGGGTGGCAACAGCAAGGGAAGTCAGCAGTATTCAGCAGCACATGGTAGTGGGGAGAATCAGTGGCATGTGGTGGCAGCCTAGTCACAGGCTACATCTCTCCTTAGACAAAGCTTTAATAATTCAGCCTGCCACTGTTCACAGGTTGCTGAACCCTGGCCTAGAATATGGGAGGCCTAGAACATGGGAGAAAAAAGAACAATAATAGTAGTTTCACATAGACTATTGTTGGAATAAATACAGAAGCTCAGCTGCTCTGGCAATGGCAGCTTCATCAAAAGTTTCAGCCTGAAGATGCTTCTTCCAGTATTTTTCACTTGGGACTAATGTGTTATCCTGCAAAATTCAGTATAATTTCTGTCCATGTATTCAGTGAGCCTGCATTCCCTCTAAGTGCAGCGTTACCCAATGTGAATTAATTATTAATCTTTAATCTTTAAAATTAATTTTACCAATATTAAATAAAAAGAAGAAAATCTACTTTTGCACAAAAGCTGCTGTTTTCATGCACTATGGAAGAAAATTAATTTTCTTCCAAAGGATCAAGTCTGCCTACACAGAAATGCTATGTGCAAACCAGCATAAAGACCACAGGATGGCCAACAGTTTCTCTCAAGGAACTGGACATAAAACACCATCAAATATCATAGTGAGCACTCAATAACAGTAACAGAGAGGACACCCAGAGGAAAATGCCAGGCTGAAATGTGATACTTGATTTTGATGAAAAATGGAAGATTTGTGGTGAAATTTTGACCCATTGAAGTCAAGGAGAGTTTTGCCATTGACTTCACTGTCCAGCCCCATTCTTCTGTGCTGTTCAGCCTACTTGGGAACAGGTATTTAAACTGATCGTCCCTTTGCTGTGCAAATGCTTAGTAAGGTACAGTCCTTGTCGTCTTCTTCAAAGATGTTGCCGTCTAAACAAGCAGAGACTAGAAAGCAGAAAGGGGACAACCAAGTAACTGAGGCACACAAAGACTGAAGACCAGTGGGATTTAAAAAATTGCCTTTTCACAATCGAAATACAAACCAATTGGAAACAGACTCAAGGACATGTTTAATGGCCACATTGGGTGTTTATATGCATTTGTAGGTGTCTAAATACATTTAAAACTGGTCTCAAATGACTTGGCCCAGGGTCACATAGGAAAATTATGGCATAGTTTAGATTTGAACCTGATCTTTATCAGTATTGGGCAGTGCAATAAAGACAGCTCCTGGATCCCCCGCCCCTGGAATTATATATTGAAGTGATATTTGTAAGGTAAACTCTTCCTTTGGAGTAGAGGAACTATGCATAAGTTTTACTAGTTTCAGAACCTGTTTGAATCATGGAGAATGAATAAATAATTACATGCTAAAGTAAACAATTTTCCAGAACCTAAACCTTTCTTGCTTCTCAGTGTCACATTTAACTTCTCTTTCTCTTTCAGTAAAGCTTTCCCAGAAATGTTTCTACTGTATCTTTCCCACCCCTTGCATCCTGCTTTCACCTTGACTGCTTGACACTGAAGAGGTTAAGAGTTCATTTGGGTAAAGCAAAATACTATTTTGGGTTCACCATCATTTTCTACTTTTAGCTTATCTTTGCTGTCTGTCAGTAGCAGAGAGGACTTTCTGTCTAGTTTTTTGGGGGCTTTTTTACCTACTTCATTCACAACATAAATTATAGATTTGTCAGTAGCAGATCTACAGTTGCAAAACAGTTTGTTCATTCTCCCCCTTTATTTTCACACGATCACATCACTCTCACATATTTTCCTCTGGGTCTCAATTTCCTTTCTTGATCTCTGTGCTAAAGCTTATGGGTGTTGAGAGTTTGAAGAAATTCCTCCAAGCCTTCTGATGATGATATTGACTTTAACTGAAACATATGCTGGGATTTTTTTTTTATCTGCCTCTATTACAGATAAAGCCCAAAACTTATCCTGTAATTAAATCTTAAGAGAAATATTCACTTTGTACAGTTTGGCTTTAACTTAATGAAGCTGTGGGGCTTTGAAGAATCCTGCCCATGTCCAGGAAAACATCTCTAGCTGGAATTTTCAAAGGCATCTAAGAGTTAAATACCCAAGTCCCAATTTCCAAGTGTGCTTATTACGTTACTTAGGTACAATGCAAAGGCAAATAAAATGGGACCTCTACTTCTCTATCCCTTGAATGCTTTTGAAAATCATGCTGAGTACTTTTTTTTTCTTTTAAGATCATTTAAAACATCCAGCCTTGAAATGTACCACATTATGTGTCTAGACACTGCTTTAGAGGTAGGGTTTGAACTTTTGGGGGGCTGAACCCCCCCCAAATAAGACAAGATCCCCATTGCAAGATTTGAAAATCATAACCTGGGGGGTCTCTGATTTTATTAGGGAATCATGATGGCAACTCAATGTTTTTTGCAGACCTCTCCAAGAGTCGAAGTGTAATTCGAACCCTGTTTACAGTGGACACATCTCATCTCATCCTGTAAGACCCTTATCTTGTGATCCAAATGCAGTGCAAGTCGATGCAAGCCTTTTCTAATGACTTTCTTGTGCTTTAAATCAGGTCTCTGGGATCTTCTCCTACCCTCTGACTGGTTAGAAAGTGAGAGACTAATTCTCTCCCTGTTTCCTCTCAGCAGAGCCAGAAATGGGTCTGTGTGCTCTTACTTCCATCTGTGTGGTCATTAATCAGTGTCCTAGCAAATCCCTTATTAACTTCTTGGAAGCAAAAATATGAGCTGTGGCACTTCCATTTACTTTAAAATAGATTGTCTTTAAAATAAACAGCTTGTAACTGTCATAACCAAGTCGAGCAAGTGCCCATGTCACAATAGACCGTATGTACCGACCTCCACTCCCAAATTTGGTCATGGAAGCGCGCTGTGACATCAGCCATTCTGCGCTCTATTTAGCAGCCCGTCATTGGCTACTCTAAACATATAAAAGTCCGTGCAGTTTCCGCCCATGTTGGAGAACTCCGGATACACCTCGGAGTAAACTTGGCGGACTGATCACCCGCCAACCCCGTCACCGACCTCCCTGACGTACCCCCTCCCCTGCATGCTCGGTGATTCGTTTATGGAACGTCTCGTCTCACTTCAAGGGCTCCTGCTACGTTTCTCTCGCTACGTTTGTAACTCATTTGTAACTGCAATTAAGCCAATTCTTCCTACGCTGCACGCATCAGTAGCGTAAGTAAACAACCTTGTTGCAACCAATACGCATCCGTACCTAATTCCACTCCACGCGTCGAAGTACCCACCTAACGTTCTGGGTTCCTGGCAAGGGCCCCAGCACTCGCCCGGCCACCACAGTAACATTAGCAGTTTAAAAAAATGTCATTTCCTCCACTTAGAGCTCAGTCATCCCCATTAAAATCAATTGGAAACCTCACATCACCTTTTTTGGGTTTTCATTCATCCCTTTAATGAAGACAAACGCATCCACCTGGGCATGTTTTGTCTCTGCTTCTCTGTCAGAAGCACTCAAAAATGTTGCTGAGAGAACTATTTCACATTTAATGTTTGCTTTCTTTTTCTCCTCTCGTGTGGCAGGCAAGGGCCAAGGAATATATATATAATCCCAGAATGGGCTGGTTCATTCTAAAACAACTCATGTTTATAGCAGCATTTCAAAAGAACTAAGGCAACACTGAATAATTTGAAATTAACAGGGGGATCCCTGTCATAATCTAACACAGC